TGGGGATGTGATGGTGCTGCTAAAGCAGCCTTTTTTTTTTTTTTTTTTTAATTCCACGAAGGTAGGAGGACACTGGGTCCTGATGACTTCAGAGAACCATATTATTTGTTGGCTAATGCAGTTGGTCTGGAAACCATACTTTGAGAACCACTATTGCTTTGGATTTTTTTAAAGATTTTTTATTTTTATTTATTTGACACAGAGAGACACAGCGAGAGAGGGAGGGAACACAAGCAGGGGGAGTGAGAGAGGGAGAAGCAGGCTTCCCCCAGAGCAGGGAGTGTGATGCGGGGCTCAATCCCAGGACCCTGGGATCATGACCTGAGCCGAAGGCAGCCACTTTAACCAACTGAGCCACCCAAGCACCCCTCTTTTTTTTTGTTACATGCAGCTGAATCAAATTATAATTTATACTCAGGAAAATCTGGTGAATTAGAAAACATGCCTCATCTGAAGGCATTCCTATTCAGTTTTTTAAAACACTGAGCTGACCAATAATACAGTTGATAAACTGACCTCAGGAAGTTGTGGAACAGAGAAGGAACTTCAGCTTTGGCCTATCTGTAGCACTCTACTGTCAAGAATTGATATCCCGCCACTCCAGGATGCACAGAGAAGACCACATATGTGTAAATAACATTTTTTTTTTTTAAAGAGTTTATTCATCCATTTTACAGAGAGAGAGACAGAGAGAGCATAAGCAGGGGAGTGGGAGAGGGAGAAGCAGGCTTCCCGCTGAGCAGGGAGCCTGATGTGGGGCTCGATCCCAGGACCCCGGGATCATGACCTGAGCTGAAGACAGACGCTTAACGACTGAGCCACCCAGGCGCCCTTGTGTAAATAACATTTAAAGAAGAATAAAGATAGGTATTAGGAAAATAAGTTGAAACAGTAATCAGCATGGAGATTGGAGCAGACATGGTCGTGGCGGTGGGTGCACCACCGTAGCTTGCTTGGATCCTTTTTCATTCCCGAGCACACTGGCTCCAGGTATGTTTCACTCTTAAGCAGCCAGCACTGTGTCTCTTTGTTAGGGGGTTGGCCTCAGGCTGCTAGAACTCATTTTGCTTCACTTTGTTAGAAGTACCTGGGAGTTGAAGATAGTAGGAAGGGAAAAATGAAGGGGGGGAAATCGGAGGGGGAGATGAACCGTGAGAGACCATGGACTCTGAGAAACAAACTGAGGGTTCTAGAGGGGAGGAGAGTAGGGGGATGGGTTAGCCTGGTGATGGGTATTAAAGAGGGCACGTACTGCATGGAGCACTGGGTGTTATATGCAAACAATGAATCATGGAACACTACATCAAAAACTAATGATGTAATGTGTGGTGATTAACATAACATAAAAAAAAAAGAAGTACCTGGGAGTTTATATCACCCCAGGGACAATTCTTAACCAATGATTGACAGGTGCAGGAGAATAAATATTCCAGCTACTTTGTCTTGGTCAAGATAAATCTGAGGTGTGGCCTACACTGTCTTTAGACATTCTTTGTGGGATAGAGTCAAACTTACTCTTCATGAAACTTTGCTTGATAACATAACCCTCCTTAGTCACCTAGCTAGTCCTGTTACAACCCTCATGATTTTTCCTGGGAAAGCTTCCTATTAATCACCTTCACATGAGTCCTTATTTCAGCGTGTTTCTGGGGAACCCAACTTAAGACAGAAGAATTTCAATCTTCTCAGAAAGCAGTAGAAGAATAAAAGGAAGGTCAATCATCCTGTTCTATCTTCTTGCATTTGAGCTTTCTCCACTGACATGTCTCAGATATCCAGATGTGCTTGGGAAGAAAATCAACTCATTTTGGATACCCAGGTTCATTAAGGAAGTTGGAAATACATGTCTGGACTCCAGGACAGAGGTCAAACCCGGAGATATATTAAATTTAAACAAGCTGGGTTGTCAAATCATAATGTATGAGTTATGCTGATTTACTTTTCTATGAACTACTTTGTCCATCCTCATCTAATTTTAAAATTCAGTACAGCTGTGAGTTTCATTAAATGTTTATGATCCTATTATAGGGTATATTTTTAGCCTTAATAAGAGGAAGGTGATAAAGCTTCATTATCTGTCGTTTCAGAGGAAGACTAAAAAATCTAACATCTACCAAGTGAGTCTATAATATGTCATCATAAATCTTCTATTTCCCAAGCCTTTGTCTCTCTTTGACATCAAAGATAAATGACTATTACTAGAATTAATATCTCTTAAATATATCATGATTCTTCAACATTATTAGCCAAAAGGCTGTTATGAAAACTTCACTAAAATAGAATTTGATTTTCTTTGTATGAACTGTAAGGGTTACTGTGAATTTTTAGTACCCCATAGTGGAAATGTCTTCCATATTAACTCAGCAGGTTTTCTTAGAGGAATAAAATTATTTTATACGTGAGAAAGGAAATTACAAAATATCGTGGCAAAATTATTGTTTTTTTATCTTTTGAAAACCATGATCATTTAAATCACTTAGCAGAAGAGGTTAGTATTACTTTCAGACTCTGAATCTTGCTTTAAAGTGACACAAGCTTGGTAGCAAAATAATACAACGTAACTGACCTAGGGAGAGCGCTTAAGAAACATCCTCAAGAGGGGCGCCTGGGTGGCTCAGTCGCTAAGCGTCTGCCTTCGGCCCAGGTCATGATCCCAGGGTCCTGGGATCAAGCCCCGCATCGGGCTCCCTGCTCTGTGGGAAGCCTGCTTCTCCCTCTCCCACTCCCCCTGCTTGTGTTCCCGCTCTCGCTGTGTCTCTCTGTCAAATAAATAAAATCTTTAAAAAAAAAAAAAAAAATCCTCGAGATATTTGAACTACTCCTATCTCTCCTACCAGATGCAAGAGATAATTTTAGTGTAAGTTTCTTTGCACTATTGTGAGTTCCAAACGTAATTTCTCTAGAAACGTGTGTCCATGTAAAAGCTCCTTTTGCAGTTGCTAAGGAACTAGTTTCTGACACTTATCTTATTAAGGCTCATTTTGGATTGGAAGGGAATACATCTGTGAGATATTGAAAACTGCTTCCATAATTTGGGGCCAAGGAAGGAAAAAAAAAATGGAGAGTGGCCGAAAATGAAAGAAAGTATTTGTAAGTATCAGTTACATGAAGAGTCTATGGTTTAATGGCAGGAGTGTCAGAAAAGCAAGTGTTATACAGGATTATTTCCTACACCGGCATCAATGAACAGATATTTTAAGTTCTGGAATTATGAGATTTTTATCGTAGAAATTATATGATGATTTGGATATATAGTCAGAGCCTAAAAATACTGGCCTATATTAAGTTTTAGAAATTTGCTCCTTTTTTTTTTTTAGGTATGTACCAGTGGAAACAAAACTGGAAAATAAAGAATTTTACCTCCCTTAGTTATTTAGGGATTTTTTTATGTTTTCTCTACTCTTTCCTGCTATGAAAACCTTATTTTTTTTTTTTAAGATTTTATTCATTTATTTGACAGAGAGAGAGAGAACAAGTAGGCAGAGAGGCAGGCAGAGGGAGAGGGAGAAGCAGGCTCCCCGCTGAGCAGGGAGCCCGATGCGGGGCTTGATCCCAGGACCCCGGGATCATGACCTGAGCCGAAGGCAGCGGCTTAACCGACTGAGCCACCCAGGAGCTCCTGAAAACCTTATTTCTGACAGCAGAGATGAATACGTCAATTCACACTAAGATGAGAATTATTGACTGTGGAGGAGCTTATACCCAAATACAACACCATGCAAACTGTCCACCAACCCTTCCCCTGACTTCGTTTTATTTTTACTCTCCATATTTTTCCTCTTCTTCTGACTCTCCTACTTATTTTTTCTATTTATTTTGGAAGCTGCCTCAAACTTATTTTGACATGAAATTGAGTTATGAATACATAAATAAAACTAAAATGAATGAAAAATGAAGACTATGCAACGATTAGCATCGTCTTAGTTTTATAAATGAGGAAATTATTAGAACAGAGAGGTAAGTGACTTGCCTCAATGTATTAGCAGTTTTTATAGCTGCACATTAGGACCTAGAACTCAAGCACTTCTGATTCTGGACCCAATATTCCCTTCCCTGGAACCCCTGGCTTTTCTGAGGACATTTGTGAAGCCAGTTTGTTCATAATGATCATAATAGCAAGGGTCTTCATTTCTTGTTTTAAAAAGTAAACTATTCACTTTCTGAAACATCCTTTTCCAAGTTTGAAATCATAGGTCTTAAAAGAAGGTACTTTTACTCTGCCCTGAGGGTAAGTCCCTTGCGGAACAGAACAAAGGTGAATACCATCACATTAGGTGGCTGACAAGGAGGAGACACTTCAGTTAAAGTAGTTGACCACCATTACAAAAACCCAGGGGAGAAATGCTGAAAAGAAATGGTTTTCTTTATGTTGAGATCATTACTTTTTTTTTTTTTTTTTTTTTTTTTGAGAGAGAGAGAGTATGTGCGTTCACGAGGATGGGGAGAGGTAGAGGGAGAGAGAGAATTTTAAGCAGGCTCCACGCCCAGCATGGAGCCTGACTGGGCTAGATCTCATGACCCTGAGATCATGACCTAAGCTGAAATCAAGAGTCTGAGGCTTAATTGACTGAGCCACCCAGGCGCCCCTATTTTTCTATTATGTCATTGTCAAGTCACCCCACAAGCCCCAGTTTGCAAATTTTTATTCTCGGAAATCATGTATATAATATGCAATGAAATTTAGTTTCCTTTGAGTTTACTTTTTACCTTTGAATTTTATTTTCAATATGATATCAGATGCAGGAAAGGATATGCATTGGGTTACAATTAAAACTATATCATATGTGAAACTTCAGGTTTTCCACAATTTTTAATTTTCTCAGGCTTCCCTGATACCCATTTTGACCGGCTTGTGCAAATTTTTGTCATTAAATTACAGATTTTGAAAATGTTTCTTCATAATGCTCTGGGTTTGTTTGTTTGTTTTTTTTTTTTAAGTCAATGCTTACATTTAAAACCAACATACTTTTTATGAAATGTATTTCATTTTATGAATTTTTTTTTTTTTTTTACAAAAAGTTACAAATTTATTCACATAACATATTCTAACACATATCAAAGTTTCAAGCAGGTCCTTTTGAATCTCGAATAAGAAATTACAACATGCAGCATTAATTAAAAATAAGAAAAGGGTGATGGTAATCATTTATGGGTTTTAGTCTAAAATGAAAATGCAGAGAACATTTATTTTGGTGGATCTGTGTTGATGCCATATTTCTCCTTGAGAAGCTTCAACTGCTCTTCCTTCTTTCTTGTGTCCATCTTCTGAAATGCCCTGTTGGCATTATAGTACAAAACCACCAGGTATCTGTTACAAACATTGAACCCTGAAAGGTGATCACATGCATTCTTGGCATCAAAGATATCTTCATAGACCACATAAGCTGTTCCTCTAGTTTCGGGTGTGTTCCCCACTCGGATTTGACGAATAGGTCCATATTTCCCAAATATATCATACATTTCTTCAGCTGTGATTTTGTATGGCAAATTTCTTATATACAAAATCCGATTTACTTCGGGTGGAAGTCGAATGTTCGCCCTCTTCCCGCTTGCATCGCCATCTTGGTGGACTGAAAGGTTACTGCAGCAAACCCTGGAATTCCTCCGGACACCTCCGGAGCTCGCTCTACCGGACCGCAACACCGCGTCAAGGCCGGGTGACTTACAGCAAATACAGTCATATCTTGGAGATATTGTGGGTTTGGTTCCAGAACACTGCAGTAAAGCAAATATTGTAATAAAGCAAGTCAAATGAATTTTTTTGTTTCCCAGTGCATTTAAAGTTACGTTTATACTATACTGTAGTTTATTAAGTGTGCAATGGCACTATGCCTAAAAAAAGTGCATATCTTCATTTAAAAATATTGCCAAAAAAAGGCTAACCATCATCTGAACTTTCAGCAAGTCATGATCACTGTTCACAGATCACTAGAGCAAATGTAATAATAATGCGGAAGTTTGAAATATTGCAAGAATTATCAAAATGTGACAGAGACACAAAGTGAGCAAATGCTGTTGGAAAAATGTCACCAATACACTTCATTTCCTTCACACAGGGTTACCACCAACTTTTAATTTGTAGCAAACAAACAAAAACCAAACAACCCCCAAAAAACAAAAAAACCAACCCCAAAACCCAAAAACCCACAGTATCTCTGAAGCCCAAAAAAGTGAGGTATGCTTGTAATGAATTAAACAACCATGGGGAACTGTGTTACCTTATCAAATACAGTGTTACTAGAATGAGAGAAGAAATCTGTTGTATTTCCAGTTCAGGAAAAGAAAAACTAATAGAGAAAAAGGGCTTTATGCTTTCCACTGAATACATATTTTCTTGTTGTTGAGATTGCTTTGAGAACCAGGGTTCTATTTTTATTATTCTCCTTTTGCCTACATTTGAAATTTTTAGAAGGGATTCTTCATTAGAAATGCTTTAGAATTTTTATGTACACTGTTTTCACATGTATTTTCCAGAGCACGTGCTGTCTAATTACAGTAGAAGTTTTTATGTTACAAGATCTAGTCTTTCACCCATTCTGAAGCTATCACTATGGATATAATTGAAACAACTATAGCCTTAGAAACTCAAAATGCAAAATAATAAAGGGGTGTATTTTAAATGTACTACCTATTAAATTGGGAAAAAGATGTGGGAGAATGGTAGTTAATATAATTAAATTTAAAACCAAATATCATTTTAACTATTGATCACTTACTGAAAGCATTACTTTAGAAAAACAATTTAAGGAACTGGTTGTTTAACTACAGGCAGATCATTTAACATATGCAAGCATCATCTCTTCAAAGGTAATATAAAGTGTTAAATTAGATGAATTCCAAAATATCTTCCACCTTTAACCTTACAAATGACCCTTCTTCAGTATTTTCACTTTAAAAATATCTAAGATAAGTAATAGGAATATAAGGGTATACTCCTCCCTGTGTTTGTCAAAACCCAGTATACTTTTGAGGGAGGTAGTTTAGATTAACTTGCTCAGGCCACCTTTTTTTTCCCCCTGTGCATTATCTAGGGGCCAGAATAGTTGAAAAACATGATTAATAAACAAAATGAAACAGACTGTGATATGAAAGTAAATATGATCTGAGAGGTGAGAAAGGATGGAATTCACTACTGGAAATGCACCATGAAAGGATATGATCATTCTTGGTTCAAAAGAAATGGAACTGTTATTAAGAGAACAGAGTATAGCTGTGTGCCAAAAAGATATATTCCTTCATAAAAATCTGGAGAATTGAGGACAGTATTTGTGTGAAGATAAAAGAAGATTAGAAACAAAATTAGGTAGTGCCATATCATAGTGGTTACAAGGCTGACCTTGGGAGCTGGATTGTCTGAGATCCTACCCTGAATATGGCACTTATAGTTGGGGACCTCGGACAATTTATTTAATCTCTCAGTGCTTCGAATTCCTTGTCTATACAATGTGGATTATGGTTGCTGTGAGAATTACATGAGATTAAACATAAATTTCCTGGCATAAAGGAGGCGCTCAATAAATATTAGCTATTATTATCACTGTAGGAGTGTACTACAGGGCCTTGACTAAAGAAAGTGAATAAATTAAATTCACCTGGTGGGAATGACAAACTAGACTTCAAGTACACATTCAATTGAAAATCTCATTTCTAAAAAGCAGAGCATTTGATAAATTCTTGTCTTATCTCACTGATAGTTTCATCCAGTAAAATGTAAAGAAAGTTATTAGGAAAATTGGTGCTAGCGAACTATGCATTTTGCATACTGGCTGCAAACAAAACAAAACAAAACAAAACAAAACAAAAAACCAACAAAGTGTTATGTTGAAAGAAACCAGTGTAACTTCCCAGGAAATTACTGACAGGATCAGATTTTAAATTGGTGAAACACAAGAAGAAAGGCCACATACTTAAATATTACGGTGATGCTGACCTGTCAGGATAATGTCAGAGGTGCTAAAGTCTAAAATGAACTATGATGTCTGAAAAATGTTAAGGTTAACAAAAATTTTAAACTATGTAAGGGGATTTCCAGGGAAGCAGAATTAATATATGTGATGTATATCCTTTGGCAGAGACTACTAATGAGCAAAACTTTAAGCCTGCTGGTAAAGAAGGTGATCAAGCCCAATTGTTATTTGGTAGAAAAAGATTCAAGACCCATACCCCTTCCGGTTGAAATTCAAAGTTATTGAAATTTGTTAGGATGAGTTGAGGTAGCCTTGACCTCAGGCTTATAGTGTATAAAGGCAATTGCTCCCTAAATTAAGGATAGGAACAAATGGGGGTGCTAGACTGACCCCAATACCAGGTCAGGTGAGTGAATGATGATTCTGAATCTATGAGGCAATGGAATCCACCAGGAATGGTAAACATATACTGTCCCTATTAACCTGGGGGAAGGTTATGTAAGGAAATCCAACAAGCATGAACACTGATGACCTAGGCCGAGGGTAACAATGGGCAAAGGGTGTTGGCAGTGAAGTTTTCAGAAAACTATAGAGGGCAGAAATCACACTTACCCTGACAGCCCTGGTGAGGTTTCATCAGGCAGGGAGAAGATGCTCTAGCATTAGCCATAGGAAAGCCAATGGAAGTAGGACTTCTGCAAGCCAGATTTCATGTACAGCACCTGGGCTTTGTGTCTGGTGACCCTACCAGTGTCATGGCCTCGTGTACTCGTGTGGTTACCCATCAAGAAGTGACCATGATTCCTCCAACCTCAAGGGGGCAGGTATGAGCTCTGGCTAGAGTGTTGAGAGAATAAAATCAAGACTGAACCTTTAAATAGGAATAAGCATGGGGAGATTCCATTAGGGGAAGGAGAAGAGAGGCTCAACTTCCTATTAATCAAGGTATACATAGCTTGGAGCAGTGCCTCTCAAACAGCAACCTTTATAAAATAGTAAGAATGAATTACTTGAAAAATGAAATTTAAAAAGATACATAAAGCCCTATTTTTTTGAGTTGGAATCCAATAAACGTAATCAGAACAAATGCAACATAGGGAAAAATAATTACAAATCTTTTAGGTTGCTCATTGAAAGGGTATGTTCGTGTGTAGAGGTGATTATTACACTTACACATTGAACTAGAACAGTGAACAACGTCTTAGCCCGTGCCTCACTCCCTCGGGACATATGGTAGGTTGAATATGAGACAATTTAGGCCACCTTAGGCTCCTCCTGGCCGTCCCAGGACTGAGAAACACCTCTAAGCCTGGGGGAAAAAATGAGACTAAGCTCTTGCGGTCACATAAAAAATATACCGAAAGAAAGCTTCTTTCGCTCTCTTTCTGTGTGTGTGTGCATGAACGTTATGAGAAAGAGCACTTAATTACAATCCTTATTCACAGTCTCACTCTCTGTGATCAACTAATTGCAGATGACATTGGAAGCCTTGAACACATCTTGTTTTACATAATATAAGTGGCTAGAAACTTGGATTAATTTGCAGATATGAAAAATTCTCTCATGAAGAATCTGTACTATGGAAGCGTAGGATGCTTAGCACAACCAGGAACCGATTTTTAATGTTGAAATTCTTTCACTGTATTAAAATACACTCTTCTTAATATATTACCCTTCCTGTTAAAAAAAAAGGTAACACTAAATTTTATTTATGCAAGATTTTAATTTTACATTTAGTTTAATGAGCAGTATCAAATTTTACAGTCACTGTTTTTCAATTTTTAAGACTCAAAGGACATTGGTAATATGCTGACTTGACATAAGGCACTCCTCACAGCAAATGGTGTGATCAGGTGTGGAACTCTGGAATGCTATAATCCCAAAGCAAAGGTCTTGTCAGATAATAAGAAATCAAGATCTTCCTTTATCCTCTTCCATGACTCAGTCTAGATGATGCCTATCCATATGACAAAAGAAGTCAAGGCTTTAAAATGCTGGGAATCGAGAGTAATAAAACAAGTTTATGGATGCCGTCCGTGAAGCAGGGTGGGTGAATGAAATGATCAAATGCACAGCCGAGTGAGAAGCACTGGGGGAAGATGCTTCAGAGTGTGTGCTCTACGGCCAGAGCGTCTGGATCTGGGTCCTGCCTTCACCTCTTCTTATGTTATTTATTAAATGGTGACATTATCTGTAGTGACAGCATCTTTCCTCATAGCCTCATTCTGAGAATTAAATACACTTATAGCCTGGAGAACAATAAATGCTCAGTATGTATTGGGCATTTTAACAACTCCAAACCAATGCAGGCTGAAATAAAATGTACAGAAAATATTTCTGATATCATTAAAATATACCTTATATCTAATTTACTATTTGAGGAAAGACGATCAGCCAGAGGCTATTCTGCGATTGGCTGCCTGCCGTTATTGATAACAGAGAAGATAAGCAGCCCTCGGAGTGTGGGGTCCTCACCCAGGTCTCAAACAGCTGTTAGGCTTTCTGGAATAGCAATGGCTCATATTTACTGCACACTGGCTATGTGCCCTGCAGAGAACTGAACATTAACCTGCATCCTTGTCTCTTTTAATCCTCACAACTACCCTGTGAGATAGGAGTAATTTCTTTTTAAAGAGGAGGAAATGATAACCAAGATTTAAGTAATTTGCCCAAGGTCAAAAGGTAACAAATTGCAGAGCTAGTATTTAAACCTGGTGGTCTAATCCTGGACTTCCTACTTTTATTCTATACCGTGTTGCTTCGATGAATCCCTTAACATTTTCTTCTCCAAGATACGTTTTAGGAATGAGAGCATGAGTTACCACCGGTCTCCACTGAGATATCTTTCCTCTCTTGATCCGCTCGATCACCTGGAAGAATTCGAAGTCAATCCGTATTTAAACAGAAACAGCTCAAGTATTAACTTTTCATTACCTTCAGGAATGTGCCCCCAAAAACCTCGGGTTTTCATTTGGTAAGTCATGAAACCTCAGGTTTTTGTTTTTGTTTTGTTTTGTTTTGACCTATCAACTGGGAACAACGCCTCTCTTGCGGGATCATTGTGACTACTTAAAAAATTAATTTGTGTTAAGTGCCTAATCGTGTGCTTGGAATATAATAAGTAGCTGTGGTTATTGTCCTCCTCGAGGGTTCCATGTTTCCTTGGAGGGAAGGTGGCTTGGGGGAGTGGAGAAAGGAGATGTGAAGGAACGCACAGTGGTTTGAAGGGAACACTTCGGACACACACATGCTTGTGCCATGAAGATTTCTACTCCGTTCTAGGGTCACACAAAGTCTCTCTTTTCTGCTACTCTTCTTGCTGAAAGCTGTGTCCTTTTAAAGCATATGGGTAAGTATCATATTGTGTGTGAAAATCAGAGAGGCAGGAGTCTAAAAATATGTAACCTGGATTCTATTCCTGGCCTAGCTGCAGACTCCCCTTAACTTATTAATGTGTATGCCTCAATTTCTTAAACATATATATAGAATTAACTGTTTCTCCTCCCCTTCCCAGGAATTCTGGAGTGATGATTGAGCATCCTCACACCCGTGAGTTCTCTTAAAGGGAGCAATATGCATATACAAGGCTTATGCTATTAAGTCATATAGGCTTCAGTTTGAAAAGTGCTTTGGTGACAGAAAAGGGGTTCTCTCTATATGTTAACAGGAATCTGTGTTTTCTTCATTGGAATTTACTTTTTTGAAGAATTTTTAAGTTCTCACATGAAAAGTTTCTGATAGTTTCCTTTTACAAAATTGAAAATGGTTGCACACTGGCAAAAGAAACTTAGCAAATACCTACTTTACCATGGTGACCTGATGTTAGCTCAAAGAGGATTTGGATATCTAAGGGCACAATTCAGTGTATCGTTGCATTCAGTTTGTTAATTTCAGGTAAATAATCTTAAGTCTCAATTTTGGAGTTGGGAAAATGAAGTGTATACTTTTAAAATTACTTTTTTTCCCCACCGGGTACTTTTCTTTTTATTATCCTAGATTTCTCTACAAATATTTTATAATCAGGGCATGATAATCTCCTGTGGAGATTTAAATATGGACATATATTTAATATGTCCATGTGCACTAGGACTTCACCCCCAGAAATTCTGATTCAGTTTGGCCTGCCTTGGGATCTGTAAATTCAAAATGATCCATAGGTGATTCTAAAGCGTGTCCTTAATTAAGCTATCAGATGGCTTTCACAGACCTTTTTAATATAAGAGTAAGAGTAAGGTTAGCTTTTCCCTAGCACTGGCAGCTACATCTGTAGAGAGAATATGCTACTGATTTCCCAGAAATGTTGTTTTCCAATTCTACGTATGTTTAGATAGAGTGAAAAATAAGGATGTGGGAGAGAAAGAATAGGCCATCTTGATTTATGTGGGCCCTAGCACCAAGTTCACCTGTGTGTAACTAGAGCTTCTTTTGGGTTCTTTTGTCTTACATTTATTCCTCATGAAATTTTCCAAAAGGGGTGAATCATTGATGTCCTTGAATCACTAGCATTTAGGAATCCCTCTTAGAGTTTGACAGCATTCAGTGGTAGCTCATTGTAAGGTAGCAGAAGTATTTTTATGGTATGTAGTGTTTTCTTGGACTTTGATATTTTTCAATTTTCTTTTATTATAGTACTCCTTAAAATTAATTTAACATCCAATTCAGAGGACTGTTGTTGCAGAAAATGTGGTTATAAATGAGCAAAGCATTTTGTAATCTGGAAAGTGACATACAAAAGTTGAATGTAATTAATTAAAAATCACTATAATGAATTTAATGATCCAAAGGATGCTGATCCTTGAAGTACATTTTATTACGTATAGTTACTTAAACACCACCTTTTTTAAAAAGTTAAGGCAGTTTTATTTTTTTACTTTTTTTTATGATTTTATTTATTTATTTGACAGAAAGAGACACAGCGAGAGAGGGAACACAAGCAGGGGGAGTGGGAGAGGGAGAAGCAGGCTTCCTGCTGAGCAGGGAACCCGACGTGGGGCTAGATGCGGGGCTCGATGTGGGGTTTGATCCCAGGACCCTGGGATCATGACCTGAGCCGAAGGCAGACGCTTAACGACTGAGCCACTCACGCGCCCCAAGCTTACTAATCTTTTTATTCACAGATACCACATGAAACTTTGCTTTTGTTTCTGGCAACAATGAACTGCACTGAAAATTAATTGAACTTTGAAATTTTCAAAATGCTCTTATAGCAGAGGTAAACAAAATTGTTTCAAACTGCAAATGTTTTACATAAAATCTAGGGCAGTTTTCTGAGAGAACAGAGTTTACCTTTATGAGAGGAGATTGTTCAAAGTAACTGTGAAAAAAGGCTTTAAAAATAATTACCATGCTATTGTAGGGTGATTGTAACATGCAAGCAGTGCAGAAATTGAAAAAGTAAAAGGAGTGGTTCCTACTCTACCCTGCACCCCAAGCTCTAGAGACAATAACTATTAATATATTGGTGCGTATTATGCCAGTATCTTATTTACACATATGGATGCACACACACACACACACACACTCAGTCTCTATCTCTACCAGAAGTTTATTTTTCTTTTAACAAAGATTATCCCTTTTTACATATGAGAGGTGTTCTCAACTAATGTTTTAAGGCACTTCCGAGTTAGATGCCTAAAGCTCAGGTAAGGCTGTGCTTGTGCTAATTTTTTGACTCCGAGGACATCAAGAGTGAAAAGCTGTTCGCACCCAGTTTTTCTAAGTGTCAGGGAAATGTACACCTGTTTTTATGTCTTTGCATCTCTGTGTCTCCCCAGGGGACAAAGCTTTTACTCAGGGGATTTCTGGTTGGGGGAAAAGGGTCTGCACCACAGCCTCACTGTAAGTGATTATTATCACACCGGTAAGTTTCCACTGTGGCTGCTGCGTGCATGCTGTGAGCACATCTGAAGTCAGCAGGGGACCGTTAGAAACCTCCCCTTTGCTGAGAGGAGCGGTAGAAACCTCTGCTTCATTGCAGCACATTAGCAACCTGCGGTCAGTTGCTGCTTTTCTCATGCAGTGCTGTTTTAAACTGTCTTCTATCCCACAGAGCAAAAACACACTCGACTAAAAAAAAAAAAAGTGCAAACAATCCCCGTGAGTGTTTTTGCATTTTCCTCTGCTAATCTCACTGTTAATGGTATGAGGTCTTGCCAGGAGCCATTTGTGGTTTAGGCACCCTAAATAACGTAACATTCGCACACTTCAAAACAATTAATACTAAGTATCAAATCAAACGCTCTTTGATACAAAACCTAGACTATGGAGTTGGCTTTCTACCTGTCTTAGGAAAAGAATTTTTTTTTTTTTAAAGATTTTATTTATTCATTTGACAGAGAGAGACACAGTGAGAGAGGGAACACAAGCAGGGGGAGGGGGAGAGGGAGAAGCAGGCTTCCCACCAAGCAGGGAGCCTGATGCGGGGCTCAATCCCAGGACCCTGGGATCATGACCTGAGCCGAAGGCAGACGCCTAACGACTGAGTCACTGAAGTCTATATGAGGAGGCATATTTAGTAACCTGTAGAAGATACAGGACACTCTACTAAATAATGACATAGGTGCATAAATTGTATACTGTGAAGTTTGCATATTAGATCATCAGCAAACGATTATCCCATTTAAATAAAAACGCCCTCCAGTAGTTAATGAAAAGTGATGTAAATCTACATTCCTTATCTATGCTTGTCCTTTGTTGGCAGTGAACTTAGCAGCACTTAAATTCCTATTCAGTACAAATTGAAATGATGTTGTCCTTCGTGGAGAGCATTGACTTTTCTTTTCTTTTTTTTTTATTTAAAGATTTTTTTTTTTTTTTTTAATTCAAGAGAGACAGAGCGAGAGAGAAAGGCAGAGGGAGAAGCAGGCTCGCAGGGAGCCCGATGCGGGACTCGATCCCAGGACCCTGAGATCCTGACCTGAGCCGAAGGCAGACGCCTAACCATCTGAGCCACCCAGGCGCCCGAGCATTGACTTTTCTACCAAATGGAGTTTAGGTAGAATTACCATTTATAGTAGGAATTTTAGAACGAACTCAAAAGTCATATTAATTAAAAAGGATCTCACAGCTATTACCCCTAAGCCAGCTAGGACTAATTAATCTCCTATCAAAAATATTTTAAAGTCTGCGTTGTATGCAAAACATGGTATTGAGAAGTCTGTGTCATTACAGATATCATTCCTCCTCTCGAGGAGTTAAACTAATGATAGAGACAAATCCCTTCAGCATATGGCTAATAAACAATTGTAGGTTGTGGTGATGAGGTACTTCCCCTCAGGCTATTGGCTTTATTTATTTGTTTAAATATTTCTTGTCCTGTTACTAAATCATAATAAATCATAAACCTTAAAATATTGAGAATAGAAAAATTTATAGTAGTGACAATTTTATCACTTTCACTGCCTCAAGGGACACTAGAATCATTAGTTAAGTAAAGAAACGATTAGTTTGAAAACAAAACTATCAAAAAATATTTTTGATATTTTTGGGGGCACCTGAGTGGCTTAGTTGGTTAAGCATCTGCCTTTGGCTCAGGTCATGATCTCGGGGTCCTGGAATCAGGCCCTGAGTTGGGCTCCCTGCTTCTCCCTCTCCATCTGCCTGCCACCTCCCCCCTCCCCAGCTCATGCTCGCTCTCTCTCTCAAATAAATAAATAAAATCTTTAAAAAAAAAAAAACATATATTTTTTCAATGTATTGGTTATTGATGCTGATATTTGATTAATTTGATCTCTGGCATTTGCAATTAAAAGTACTACATCATTTGGAGTGCTAAGGTTGATTATGAGGATTTAGAATTTCATTATCACTTTTGTGTGATTTTAGGCCAAGTATTTATCTTTCTGAGCTTTGTTGGTGTCCACTGAAACAG